CTGGAGGAAAGCTCCAGCCCTGTGTGCCCATAGCTCTGCAAGGATTTACTTTTTGTGTAGATAAATATGTCATTTTTTAAAAACGTGAACGAAAACTTATATAGTGATATTTTGAGAAATTTCCAGCGGCCTATGTGTTCCTTTGAGCTTCTGTTTATGTGGATAGTTTGACATTTATATTTTTATCATTTGTTTTCTGTATTTTCAGCTTCAAAGCTTAGAGCAGGAATTCTCAGCATTAGTGAAGTTGAATCATCCAAACCTGGTGCATTTCCAAGTCTTCAAATACACACAAGAAAAAAGTGCAATAATAGTTGAGGTTGGTAATAATCCATACCTGGAATTGACCAAATAAGGCACTATATCTGTCTCTTATACACATCTAGATGTGTATAAGAGACAGATTCTGATCAGATGATTGATGACTGGTGCTGTCACCAGTATAGATGTGTATCAGCATTTTATTTGTCACCGAAACTGATCACTTAGATAGAATCGACTGAAATTCAAATAAGTATACATGAGGATAATTGAGGGAGGCAATTGGCACAGCAATTGCAGTCAGGTTTTCATCCTTGTGATTGGAAGTTCAATCCTCATGTTGTCCACTTCCAGCAAGGATTAAATTTACAGAAAGTCCACCCACTGCAATAGTGAGATGATAAAGAAAAAGATGTAAATCTACCGCCCTCTACAAAAATACTGTATTATGTGGAAAAACAATAAACAGGCAAACAAACCGTGCATGGTGCAGTACAGAGTAATAAAAAGCGTACAAATGACAGTAGTTGACCTCCAGTAGCTGCATATAGGCATATCATTTGTCCACACTCCTAACAATCGTACTGTCTATACTCTCTTGTTCTACCTACAGTATACTGTTTGATGGGCTGCAAAAATGTTTTAGCCTTAAATGCAAGTAGGCTACGGCCCTTGGCTTTGTTTTAGGCACATACGATCCGGCTCCTTCTTTGGAGGGCCTTGCATTAGGGTACACTTTGCCCTCCATCCTCTCATAAAAAAAAATGATTATGCTAATAGCAGTGTATATTTTTGTTTATAGAAACTCAAGCATTAGCAAGGAGTTAAAGAATAATGGTCAAAACAAGTCTTCAGCATCGAAACGCACAAGTGATGGATCAGTAGTCGTCACAAAGTTCAGCGCCAAGACAGACAGGGTCATTCACAGAGGAGCGTGTTTAGGTAAGGCGGACAGGCATTGCCCTAACAAGTAATACATTGTTGTACTGTAGGATGAGAAAATTTCTTGATAAATATAAAGCATTTATCAATCTTATTACTGACCTGTTAAAATGGCAACGATGTTTTATTTATATATACTATCACACTTAATGATGGCCTAAGAGAATCCTCTATTTTATACTATTATATAGACAAACTAATATTTATACATGTTTGTAATGCCAATTAAAGAAATCATGTCAAATATTACGTTATTCCTGATAAATCAAACTTAAAACATTTTAATTTACACAAGGCTTTAGTAAATAGACATGGGTCTGCTCAGTTGCGTTTGCAGGTACACTGAATATTAAATAGTTTATTAACTTTCAGTGTTGTGATGAAATGTTTGTGGTCTGATGTATTTTTATTGACAAATGTTATTGGGAAAATTGTAAACATGCCTTTTCTATTAATCTTAATTGTTTTCTCTCTATTTTAATTGTAATTAGTGTAATGGTTGTAATTTTAGCATATTTTAATGATTTCTTTGTGACTCGCCCCTGAACAATTTCATTGGAAGAGGCACAATATAAACAAAATACTTTATCATTATTATAGAAACGGTATGTTTTTTGTTGTTTTTTTGAAAAATTTTATTTGAATTATTTATAACTACATACAGTATCCTTGTTGGTTGTGTTTCTTCATGCTAAATTTAATTTGAAGTAAAAAATAGAAAATTAAAACATTTTCTGTTTGTTTCTTTAGGTCAGGGAAATAGTGGAAGCACTGTTTATGTTGGTATGGATGCTTCAACCGGGGAGCTTGTAGCGTTATGCGAATGGATTATGAAATGGAAACATAGCAAAGGACGCAAACCACTTCCAGACGAAGAAAAAAATGCAGAGGGATACATCAATCAAGTTAGTAGAAATTGTTATTTAAGAGCAGGCAACCCCACCAGGTACCAATTTATACCCCTGGGTGGAGAGAAGCAATACGGATAAAATACCTGGTGCTAATTTGTAGGGGGGACTCATGCTACTTCATAGGAGTCTACCCAGCTCTATCAATGGGTACCAGCAAATTCCTTGGAGTAACCTGTGATGGACTATCGTCCCACCCAAGGGGAGTATCGCACTCTCATCCGCTTCATGTTACAGAAACTGGAGGAAAGCTCCAGCCCTGTGTGCCCATAGCTCTGCAAGGATTTACTTTTTGTGTAGATAAATATGTCATTTTTTAAAAACGTGAACGAAAACTTATATAGTGATATTTTGAGAAATTTCCAGCGGCCTATGTGTTCCTTTGAGCTTCTGTTTATGTGGATAGTTTGACATTTATATTTTTATCATTTGTTTTCTGTATTCTCAGCTTCAAAGCTTAGAGCAGGAATTCTCAGCATTAGTGAAGTTGAATCATCCAAACCTGGTGCATTTCCAAGTCTTCAAATACACACAAGAAAAAAGTGCAATAATAGTTGAGGTTGGTAATAATCCATACCTGGAATTGACCAAATAAGGCACTATATTGCTCATAAAATTCATAGAAACTTGAGTGCAGGGCTTATACAAGAGAGGTGCCAATTCAACAGTGGTACTTATTACACCACTTGCTTAGCAAAAAGCAAAAGTTTTGTATGGTGTTATATTTGAGAGTTGTGCTTATTGATCATTTACAGTACAGACAAAATAAAATTGTGGTGGTTGTTTAGTTTAGTAACTATCAGTACACACAAAATAATATGGTAGTGGTTGGTAAAGGGAGCTTTAGGTTGCACGACGATGGTACGATGTAGAATGTAGCAACATCACTAAGAAGTTATCTGTGCATGTGAGAACATTGACTTCTCGTTGTTGTCTAGATTCTTGGATGCAGTTCGGCCCAAATCTATGTTGTGCAGAGAACATAGGATTGTCACGGATCAGTGGACCTGTTCTATCGTTACTTTGTCGTACAAATCAAAAGCTTCCTAATATCAGTTTACCTCTGATTTAAATGATTCTGACCTCATTGCCTTCATTATTCACATATAACTGCTGGCATTTTGAGTTAAAGCTCTGATGGGGGTGGGGGGTTTGAGGGGGGAAGGAGGAATCATATCAGATACAAAGTTAGGGTGAATATAGGTTGGATGAGTAAAAATGTTTTTCATAAATCTTTATTTGATTTTATTATTTGTAGGTGCTGATGGAATATGTTGGTGGTGGTAGCCTTTCGCAGCATGTTGACAACATTACGTGTATTCCCATGGAAACAATCCGGCAGTATGCGTGTGATCTAATTGAAGCACTGTGCTACCTACATGACAAATCAGTGACGCACAAAAACCTAAAAGCTTCGTCTGTGTTCATTGACGAGGAAGGAAAATTGCGAGTTGCAGATTACAGTATTGGCAAAAGGTAGTGTCTTCATTATTTTTCTTATTTACTTTCTTTCACTTATTTAAGGTTTCATTTTAATTGAAAGTTTGTTTCCATTGATAAAGACAATTGGAGGCTGTGCAACTAATAGTAAAAATGCTTGTGAGTTGTTGGAACTCTCTTTACAGAAGAACAAAAAGGTATCAAGTTAAAGGTCAACATAAGAAACAATAAAAAAGACTCTTAACAACAAACACAGAATAGCATAGAGAAACAAAAAAATTATAAATAATTTATAAATTCATATTTATATATATATATCACAAAAAATTCTGAAGATATTAATATCCTATTAAAGTAACCTAATGTTTACTCAAATAAATATTGGATATACAGGTCTCCCTCCAATTAAAGACCACTTTTGGGACTGGGGTTTCCACAGTCTTTAGCATCTTTGGTCTCTAATTGGAGTAATCAAGATAAAAGACATTTGTTAACTTGGGACCACAGAAAAGTGGCCTTTGATTGCAGGTGGTCTTAAATTGGAGAGGTCTTTAATTAGAGGGAAACCTGTGTATATATGTTGATATTGTATCACTGTTTGAGAGTGCTTTTCTGTGTTTCAGGTTGTCTAGTTTGTTTGAGACTTGTAGTTCTGGAAGTCACAGTGTAAGATTCAGTGATGAAAAGACCTATGGAAGAGGTGGTAAAAAGGGAGACATCCTAAAGTTGGTGAGTAAAGATTGGTTTCTATAAAATAGCTACACTGTGGCTACAGTGAGTTCAGTACAAGTGTTACACTGCGTACCTGTCCCCAATGCATTCAGGAAGGTTCCCTGAATCAACCAACCAATCACCGTCCCTGAAAGCTGTCTGTCATACCACGTAGCGATGTTATGGAATCCTGGCGTAAGCAGAAACTTGGTGATATGTGGGTTTGCATGGCAATTAAAAAAAAGAGACTTGCGTGTTTGCAATATTAAAGCATTCTATTTGAAACACTGAACTATTCTCTGGTGTTCTTTTTAAAGCCATCTCTGTTGTACTTCTAAAAATACTACAGTAATTAATATGCAGTTGGTAGGCAAGTGTTTCCTTGTTTTTAGCAACACAAAACAGTGCTCTTCTATTCATAAATACATTCTGTTGCCACCCTTCTATGAATGATGTATGCGTGTTTTGTATATTATATTGACTAAATAAAGAAAGATAATGAATGAAATGAATTTTAATGTTTTAAATTTTTTTTTTAGGGTACGATTTTACTTGGGGTCATTCAAGGTGATATTGATGTGGGGGAGCCACCTTACAAAGTCCCTCAACATCTTCCATCTGAAGTGAAAGACTTTCTTGACAGGTAACCCAGCAGTCATCAATTACAGCAACAAGACAACACCTCCACAATCTAAGCCGTTATTGTTTTGATAACATTTCGTTTTGGCACATTGAACAATGCTACAGTAACATCTCCCAATTACGAATAAGTGAGAAAATTCTTAGTTCATAGCATCTCAGTGTGGTGGGGGTATTTCTGCAAGCACAGAGCTTGGTAGTCCTTGCCATGGGAGCAACATTTTGTAATGAAATATGACTTGGATTTTACTGTTTTCTGCAACAAAACTATACTTTACAGAAGCCAAAATTACCTGTGCTCACTGTGAACTATTAATTTAAAGCGATTTCCAAATGAATAAAGATCGTAAATCCATGCGAATAGCGCCACCAGTGAACAAAAAATGAGATTTACTGTACAGTATGCCTGAACAAGCATGCACAGCTCTAATGTAATATATATTGGCTGAAAACGATTGATATTTCTTGCTTTAAATGTAGTTTTATGGCACTTTATTGGTTTTAATATTTTCTTCCTTAGCTGATGACTTTGTTAAGAATAAAAAGTTAATATAATTTGTAGGTGTCTTGATCTTGATGAGGGTACAAGATGGTCAGCTCACCACCTTCGAGACCATCCATTCATCCATCCACCAATCTCTGCAGGTGTCCATGTTACGAGGAGTAATGAAAACAACAACCAACAATCAGGTAAGGTTACTGAAGAGCAGTTGGCACCTTATATTTGCAAAAGAATCTAATGAATATTATAGGTTTAGGTTCACACTAAAGCATTAGTATCTGGACCAGGATCTAACCATTAGCGATAACCGTTAGCACCAGGATCTGGATACGCCAAAGTTTGGCAAGTGCTATCAGTTAGCAAGTTGAGCACATTTTTATCATTAACCAAGCACACGTATGCATTTCCAATTTCCAGTTTCCTATTGGCCAGAAATCAGACCTCTGTCTATCTGGATCTTGCTAACCATTAGCTGGTGTGTGAGTGTGTGTGTGAACATAGCCATAGGGTATTATGGTTATTAATAAAGGCATACTTTTATTTTATTCCTTCAGACAATAATGTAAATGTAAATATATTGAATGAGGGAATGCAGCTAAGATGGGGCCCGTCAAGGCTTTCCAATGAATTCCAAATTATGGACCTGCTTGGTAAAGGAGGATTTGGATCAGTGATGAAGGTAAATTATTATTACCACCATTATTACTATTTTATCATCATTACAGATATCAGAAGGAGAAGAATTATGAACTTAATTGTTGTTGTCCCAGTTATTGTTTAGTTTTCCACCAATCAGCAGCAAGTCCCACTACCCAAAACATTTCATTGTTTTGGAATTCCTGCAGGTATTCTCCTGAAGACGATAGAAGAACTCAATTGAAACGTCGAGATATTCTCAACCAACAACAACAGTTCTTTTCAGAACTAGTATCTATGTGTTGTACCGCAAGCATCAATATATCTTTGCCATACAAACCTTCAAACAATATATTGTTGTTGTTGTCATTATCGTCATTGTTCACCTGTATTGTTCTCTTCAACTATAACAGGTAAAAAACAAACTGGACAGCAATTTGTACGCCATTAAGCGCATCCAGCTGGATCCGAGCAAACAGGAGTTGACACGCAAAATCACGCGGGAAGTGAAGCTTTTGTCACGTTTACATCACGAGAACGTTGTTAGGTAATAGTATTCACTTGTATTGTTTAACTATGTAGAATGATGATCTCAGTTGAAAGCTAACATGATTTAAAAATTGCAACATATGTATAATTGTCCACAATAGGATTTTCTACCAAGAAATTAATTAATTGAGACCAAAACACATCTTTGTTCTGTTGCTGTATCAAATTGAATTATCAATTTCTAAAGCCAATTCACACCATTACAATCAATACTAATATTCAATACCTAATCGATTCCTGATGATCAATCACACCATTGTGATCAATAATCAATGTATAATATTCAATACCTAGTAACTCATATTTAATGAAACAAATGTGTGGTAATAAATCTCTAATGATTGATTCCTAATAATTCACCCCTAAAAACAGTCAATTCCTTATAACCAGTTCTCATTTTACATATTCCAAAAGGTATTATAATTCCTGGATTGAAACAGCAGAGGAGCAAATTACAACTGACGAATCGGAGACAGGAACGTCATCAAACACAGACGAAGCAAAGCTTCAGGATCTTGACAACAAAAATAGTCTCAACATATCTGATGACATCGAAAAGTTGGCTCCTAAAGTTGGTAGGTTATTGTTTGTGTTTAAGTTATAGTTAAGATATATATTTTGTGAGTGTAAAGAATTACTGTATTGCAGTAATACTAGTCATTTGTTAAGTATAAGATATTGCTTCAAAAAATAATTGACACTCATTTTAATTCAGTTATTTTGTGAATACTTAGGGACACTTTCTTATACCTTTTTTTGCAAACTTATTTTTTTTAAAGATCGGCAGAGAAGGATGGAAAAAAAAAATAAAAACAAAATTTTGTTTTCTTATTTAACAAATATTTTTGCCAAAAAATAAAAAAAAAATAAAAAAAAAATAAAAAAAATAAAATTTTATTAGTGAATGTAAATAATGTAGTAATGGGATGGTTAAATGCTTTAATTTTATATAATTAGGAAAAAATTATACATATCTTATTTTTTGATATTTCAAGGGGCAGCGGGCGTAATAAAAATAAATGTGTGGGGGCACTAATTGGCCAAAAATAAATTGTATTTTTATTCAAAGTTATCATTATTTGCGGGTGACAGCTTCGCTAAACAAGTTATAAAAAAGTTTTGTCTTACCTGGATATATCAGCTCATATATTATCATTGATTCTGCGCTATCCATTCCAGAGCATCACATGTCCTTGGTAACAATCACATTATACATACTCATTCTTTTGTCACTGTAGCAGCAATAAACACCTAGATATAAAATACTACAGTAGAGATACATCATTTATAGACTACCAACAACACTGTTGAATGTCTGATTTTAAATCTAATGGCAAATTTATTGTTTTTTCCTATGTCAATCAGTCAGCCAATAGATTTGTTGCATAGAATGTTGAATTTTATACAATGGATTTTCAGTAGGAATTATACATTTGTTATATGACAGGTAATTTGAACTCATATGAGTGGAGTACATCTTACGATAATCCAAGTATCTACCCGCAAGAGGAGAGTAGTAGTGACGATGAGGAAGAGGATGCATTTTGTGGACCATTTATGTAAGTACATCCTTATACATTTCTCCTTAAAATGCTTTTCAGTCTTAGCATCAATCATTTCTACATGTTTAATTCCTACATAACTACTTACGGTACCTACAGTACTTGTTTTTAGTGGCGTAGGTGGGATGGGCAGTGCAGCCAGTGCAAAGCACTGGGGCCCAGGGCTATTAGTAGCCCAAGCACTGGGGCCCAGGGCTATTAGTAGCCCGTTCTCACCTACAGTAGCTACGGCACTGCTTGGTCTATTTCGTGAATACTTACCTGGATAACCGACTAATTGCCATTGTTCCCAAAACGGAACACCCCTTCGAAAAAATGGAACAGTCCGACCCAAGGCACCACGTGTGAACCGTCTCCCTAACAAACGTCTCTGCTACGGCACTGCTTGTTTTATAGCCACTGTAACCTTTATTTAATTTATTTTCAAGGCCAACATTAGAAAGTGATTCATATGATGACATCATTTTTGAGGATTCCGATTATGGAAATTCTAGGAAATACAACGATTCGTTTAGTTATGTAAGTAATCTTGTAATCTATCTTTAATGTATTACTCAATTTAACAATAAAAACTTAAAACAAAATCATCCAAAATTGGCATTTATTTTATAACATTGTGCTAGTTCAAGTCAATTGAGTTTCATATCCATTTTCAATTGTCAATTTATGCATCTGAAGCTGAATTTTTCATCGATCTGCAAGCTATTAGGTGTTATTTATTTGTCTATGATTTATTTATTTAAATAT